TGGATGGATTAAGATACTTAAAAAAATACTGTGTTTTTTTTTTTCAGGGGAATGTCTTTTGGGAAAAATCACTTTGAGGAACCAAAGAAAACAAAAATACAAGGATGTCATTTGGACATACGTGTCATCTTCGTCAGATCTAGGCTCAAGTCTCTCAGAATCTATGACAATAGCTTCATGTTCACCATCTATTTCATCAGATGCTTCAGTCTCATTGGAAAGTGGACCTCTTAATATATTTTCAGAAGCTTTGAAAATATAAAAATGAAAATGTCACCAAAATAGTTTTTAAAATACCATTATTAAGAATATAAATACAATATAGTCTTTCTAATTTATCCTCAGTTCTTAGCAGAGGCCAGTGCAAGCAAATACTTAAAGTGGAAGATAAAGTAGTAACGCAACTGAAGTGCAGAACAAGTATTGTGCCAGTGCAAGCCGATACTTATTTTAAGTGGAAGATAAAGTAATAACGCAACTGAAGTGCAGAACAAGTATTGATGACTGCAGCTGTGCACCCCTATAGACTACAGTTCTCTTTTGCCGTGCCATCTTACCATCCTGTCTTCAAAACAGGGTGCTACTGACTTAGTGAAGGTGGATTTACCTGATGGGGCTACAGCCTATTTATTGTATCCCTCACACATACACCAGGCTGCATAGCAGGATGCAGAATACATGGCTTTACACTGTTGGCATTTTTGTCACAACCTCATTCAGCTACTGAGCTGCAAGTGAAAGTTCTTCATAAAGAGATATAGTGGAGATGTACAAGCACTCATGAATACTTAACCTGGCCTTTTGTGAGTCTACATTTCATTTAGTAAACTTAAAAAAAACCAGAACAGCCTGTTGTGACATGAATTCAAGTGCACAATCGCTATACATAGGTGCTATGTATGTAAAAAAAAAAAAAAGTCTTTATTAATCATAGAATAATAGAATGGTTTAGGTTGGAAGGGACCTTGAAGATCATCTCATGCCACCCCCCTGCCATGGGCAGGGACACCTTCCACCAGACCAGGGTGCTCAAAGCCCCATCCAACTTGAACAGTTGCAGGGATGGGGCATCCACGGCTTCTCTGGGCAACCTGTGTCAGTGCATCACCACCCTCACCCTGAAGAATTTCTTTCTCATACCTAACCTAAATCTTCGCTCTTCCCATTTAAAGCCATTGCCCCTTGTCCTATCACTGCAGGCCCTTGTAAAAAGTCCCTCCCCAGCTTTCTTGTAGGCTCCTTGTAGGTACTGAAAGGCCACAATAAGGTCTCCCTGGAGCCTTCTCTTTTCCAGACTGAACAACCCCAACTCTCTCAGCCTGTCTTCACAGAAGAGGTGCTCCAGCCCTTGGATCATATTCGTGGCCTCCTCTGGACTCACTCCAACAGGTCCATGTCCTTCTTGTGCTGAGGATCCCAGAGCTGAATGCAGTAATCCAGGTGCCTGGATTTGCAAAAATGTTTGCAAAAATGTCTGCCCACAAACCGGGGATTTACCTGGTTTATAAATTGTGTATGTTTTAAATGCTAAGCTGACATCTGCATTACTGAGAATGTTCATCACGGTCTGAGGAGTCTCCTTGTTCCACTGCTTACGTGGCTTATTTTCACTGTAGTTTATAACACAGCCACCTAGGTATAAAATCATTAATAAATACTGCTTAGATAAAATTGCATTAGCGGTGTGGATTATAAAGATGACATTCAAGAGAGAACTACAGGAAGAAAAGAATCTAGATGTTTCCATGTGTAGCACTGCTGACCTCTTAATGGGCTGAGGTCGACACAATCAGCATTAAGAGGAAATAAAATGACAGAAGGCCCAGTGGAGCCTTCTTCTATCAGGGAGCCAGTAGCAACTGGCTGAGGAGAACGAGGAGGCAGAGCCTCTGCAAGTTTATTTGGTGGCTCTATAAATCTCACAAAACAGAGCCTGTGGCCATTTTTGTGCCTTTTAATAGCAGGATACGTGCATTCTTCTGTCCTCTTCCCTTGCCCTGTATATAATTATCATGTAACTTTCCTACCCCATCTTCAGAATTTTCTGACTATTCATATCTTGATTCTTTATTTCAATAGCATCTATTCACATTTACTTAGAATACATATCCATAATCACATGAAATAATTACAACAATTGCATACAGTGTGGGGCATTTTAAAATTGACACTTTTTTCCAGAAGAAACCCAATGTTAAGTGTTCTAATTAAAAGCTGTTGATGTGGAAGAAGGAAGAATCTCTGCCTCACATCCGAGGTACATCATTAATAGTTCTTGTCATTGGCATTATCTGTACGTTAAATGGCAACAGAAGTAGAGGTACAGATGTTATACGCTCCCAATAGTATGCTGTACTTGAAAGACAGGCAGCTGCCTTCTGCACAAAACAAATTCCTCAATGTTACCCCCACAGATGGCATATTAAGAGGAGGATTGGTAGGATAATTTCCCAGTGATAATTATTGAGCTGGTGATGTTACCTGTGGCTTTCATCACTCTTTGCAATCCTCCTGTCACACAAGACCACAAAGAAATTCTCTTCAGCATAGTGGACTTTTTGAGTGTTTGTTAATAAAATATTTTAAAATTATTTTTACATCACTTTAAATATGCCCTGTAAAGTTTTGGCTTTTAAAGTCTGTAAAGAACCACTGATATTACCTGAATTAAAACCACATTTAATTAAATCTTACTTTTAGCCTCTTCAGATGTAAAACTGGAAGAAAGCAGGGATGCATTTTCCAGGACATCCAGTACAGTATTGGATATCCTCTTTTCCCATTGCCTCCTACAGGGATGTGGCAAATCAGTAATTCCTGGGAGTACATCAGATGTTTCTGCTGTAATTGCAACAAAGAAAAGGATGATAACCAGCATCTAACTGGATTCTCTGTCCATGCAAACTAGTTCTAAGCATACAGCACTTCACTAACAGTGACGTTTGATTCTGTCGGTACAAGTCTGAACTTGGTAAGAGTTCGCTATACATTTACTCTATACCAAATATTTTCAAACAGTCATTTTTTAACACTTTGGCCAAGACTTTTTTTTTTTTTTTTTTTTAGATCTCAGATAAGCAGTAAGAAACAGTGTGACTGCAGAAGTAATAGACAGTGGCATGGTTTTCTATAGCTGCAGACTTGCATGCTCTACCTTTTATGCTCTACCTGACATACAGATACCACTACATAGAAGGAAATGCATCAGCCTTAAAACTGAAACTTACCCTCTTCAGATTTCCTTTGTTCCTTTGTGCTTTCACTCAAACCCTTAGCAATATTTTTCTTTTCTAAGGGGTTATGCTTGCTTTCATCTTTACTTTGCTTTAAAAGAATAAAGACTGTATTAATCATTATCCTTGTTGTCCAGAAAAACAAAGCAGCAATATTAACATGGTGCTAATTATTTTAGTTCTGCTACAAAACCACTGGTCTAAAGACCTGAAAACTAAACCACTGACACCATGAAGGCAATTGCAATCGCACTGCATCTGTTATTGCACTACATTTCACACCTCACATCCTTTTTTGACAGACCATCTCAGTTTTTGAAGCTAAGCACAAATGTAGTTACTTGATGCAATTTGTAGTTTTATTTTTTTACATTTAAGAACAGTAGTAATATAAAGATAAATGAGTCATATTCCCAGGGAAAACAAGATGTACCCAAATACTAAACTTCTTAGATTGACATGTCTAATAAAAGAAAAAAAATGAGCCCTACTGGCAGCATGTTTTGAAAAATACACTCCGTATGGCTGAGCCAGGCTGTGCTATAATCTGCCCATAGGTGATTTCTTGGCCACCTCTGACTTACTTCTCCTTACCTGAAATCTCACATGGGCCCTAAAACCTACTAAGAATTATGTCCAGACTAGACTGTTTCCACAGTGGCCTCTTCAAAATGAGTCCCTAAAGCAAAGAAAATACATCAATTTTTTGCAGTATCCCAAAACTTAGAAAAAAGGAGAGGATTGGGGTTTTTTGTTTGGTTTTGTTGGTTTGTTTGTTTGCTTTTTGACAGGGCCATAAGGAAATCCACTTTGCAACTAAACTAAATGTGGAAAGCATCAAAAAGTTACAGTGGTGGGAAATGCTCAGGAAAACTGCAGTCTGAACACAGATGACAGCTGACCTAGTAGGATGAGCTATGGTTTAGCATACTAATCATTTTCCATATGAACTTTTCTATAATACTGAACATTCGAAATTACTCAAATACAAATACTGTATTTATATTTGAATACTTACCCTATTGTCTTTCTTATTATTTGAGCTTCTACCAGCCATGACATTACCTGATACATTAAGAAACAGATTCAAGAGTTAAGACCTTTGGCAAACATTTGTGATAAAGTGGTATTCCGGAGGTATGACAGCAACACCACTGAACCAAGCCATGAAAATTATGCGCAAGCTTCTTCATGCTTCTGTCAACGTAGCTCATTCTTAACAGGGAGTCCCTCTACTATTCAGTTCCAAATGTGTACAAATTTTGGTGTGGCTAAATTTACGCAGAAGAAAAAATGCAACATTCTCTCTAAAAAATAAATAATTAAAATAACTTGCTTCACCATATTCTGGGGAAGAAAGCACTGTTATATTAACAATATATGCAACAGCTAAAGGTTTTGCTCATTTTAAAATTGAAAGGTTTAACTCTAGCATAAGTCTTAAGACTTACAATGTATGTATTGGAGCTCTGCAGTGTACTTCTCATGCTGGAATATAATCTACGCCCTTCAAGCATTTTTCCATACAAGTTCAATAATATTAGATTTTAAAATAAATAAAAGTAGATTTGAACATACAATACTAACATCTTATAGGTGTATTTAAGGTCTTACAATTCACAGTCGTTTTGTCATTCCTTATGTAAAGATCAATGTTGCTGACTTACCCTTTGGTCTTGCTGCATTGCCTTTCTTCGTTTCCTTTAATACCTGCTCAAACTCATTTGTGATCTGGAATGTGTATTAAAAGATGTAAGTACTGTACCATTTTAACCTTTCTTAAATTATTGTATATGCTATTTGTTAAAAATAGACTTACTACACAAAAGCAGTGTTACAGTTAACAGCTAACAATATCTAATTTTAGTAGCATCATGTCCATATTCAACTTCCATTTTTTAAAAAAAAACCCTTCTAAAAACTCAGTTATCTGAGAACTCTACAACTGTATTTATGGCTTTTCAAGTACTACACAACACTACATTTCATATTGTTATACGCTAACAAACTACAAAAGAAACTGATTTAGTATCTAAAATGTAGATACTGTTGTTTAAATCTAGAGACAAAGAATATACCATACCTCAGAAGGCAAACAATTTTTGATAAGTTTGGATAAGCAGCCTCTTGCAAGAATAGTACTGGCTGATGGACGATTCTTAGGATTTCTCTTAAACATCTGTTTTATTAAGTAATGAAGTTCATAGGAATAGTGAGATGGTAGTGGACTGTAGGACCCTTGGCATATCTTAAGGATGAGATGTTTCCAGCTATTGGCTTGAAACTGCATTAAAAATAAATGAACATGAGAGCACCGAGTTTAAGCATAAGGTAAAAAGAAGGTGACATAATTTAAGAGCAGCTTTAACATTTACTATATAAAAAATCACAGTATGTATCTATGTAGATGCCCTGTTACCATACTGATTTGGCTCCCAGTTTGACAGTTTCAAGGCTCTAATTCAGAGGTGTGGAATAATGACCCTGAGTGAACACATCAGTAACTTTCCTTTACATTTTGTAGGGCTATTATGTAGGCACTTATTTATGCTAACGATGACAGAAATATAATTTCCTGAGTATGAAAACATCACCATTTGCATACAAAGTTTGACTAAAACCAGATCGTAATGGACATTGCAAACAATAACCTGTACAACTGGAAACCAGGTGGGAGTTCATAGAATCACAGAATGGTTTGGGATGGAAGAACCTTAAAGGTCATCTTTAGGAGTCACTCATATAAATTTAGGATTGCTCAAATTTTATTTTTGCAGGAATATAGCATTGAAAAAAATTGGATCATCTTAGTGTCCTTTACTTCACATACTTGAGATCAAAATCAGACTGCAAGAGTGAAACTGTAAGCCAGGAAAGATGCAGACTTCAATTTAAAAAAAAAAAGAATAATCATCAAAAGTAGCCATCAAGGCACAAATATCCTCTTGCAAATCTACAGGAAATGGATGAAATTATTACTTTTATTGGCTAACTGTTACCCAGTCTTCAGTCAGAATTGCTGCTTCCAAGTACAAGTCCCTGGACGACTGCAGTATCAGTGGGGACAGCTATAACCATGGATGGCAACAGCCTGAGCCAAAGGGGCTGAGAATTTCTATCTCCATGCACTAAGTTTTCTTATGGTACGCTCTGCTGGCTTGGCTGCAGAGTGCTAAGCATCCGCAGCATGCAGCATCCTTTTATATCACTTCTGATAGATTATGCAAGAACATACGTGATCATCACATAAAACTAGATACATAACATTTCACTGCTGCTAAAAAGGGAAGGATACTCCACTCCTCGGTATCCCAGCTCTGAGCACTGCCTGAATAGCTGTGACGCTGCCAAAGTCGTGCCACAGACTAACGCACGCCTATGCACAGACTCCTTTATCACTCAGTCATGTACAGTATAAACTTCTAAACTCTTGTACTGCTGGCAGTTGCAGCTGTAGAGAATCTTTTGCTCATACATAGGATTTCAAGGTATAGTAGTAGCTCAATGAAAGGAAACTGCTGCTTTTAAAAAACTAAGACAAAAGGACCTTAAATTAGGATGATCTCATTTTCTTGCAAAACAAACACACGCTGATAAGGGCTCTCATGTTAGCCGTGTGTCTGTACATAGAAGCCAGAGGAAGTTAACACATAAGAAGCAAAGCATCAACACTATGTAAAAGATAGGGTCCCAGCAATGACAGAACCATCCATCAAGGTTCCTGCTGTCCCAGTAACAGGACAGCGCTTAGACAGTGACTTGATTTGAAGAATAAGCAATTAAGTATACCACTGATGCGAGGTACAAAACTGCTTATGGCTTACTATATTTTGCTATACTTGCACACAATATATTCTCATTAACAAAGATTTTGAGTGTCCTTGCTTCCATCTTCTGTGATCACCTTGATCCTGCAAAACACAATGCTCATTGCAACATCCCTGCAGATATCTGGAACCAGTCTGGCACCTGCTGGACTCCTTAAAAAGCCTCAGATCACCTCACTGATACTGAGGAAAATTAACCAAGAAAGAAAAAAATAATTATTTTCTAACAATGTAGAAAACTGAGTGTTTTACAGAAGGGTCCAATAGGTCCCAAGAGCTGCTGAAGAACAGAAGGCATATAATGGAGGAGGGGTGGGAAGGGTGGAGCAATACTTCCCCTCTTTCAGCAGCAGCAGCAAACATGTCAGTCAAATATATAATTGACTGTGAACCCATCAAACTCCAGCTAACTGCTAATTAAATTTTAAGGAAATCCAAAACTTTTCTGACAGCAATAAAGCTATACTTACTGGATGTCTAAGAGTGCACAGCTCATATAGAATACATCCCAGAGACCATATATCACTGTAGGTACAGAGAAAGATGAGAAATGTTGAGCCCAAAATTACAATTTAATATCCTGACTAGAAAAAGTGAAATTCATTATGTGTACATAACTGAATTGAATAAACTAAAAATGAATATAAGTAACCATAAAAGACAATACAATTATGCGTTTAACCACTCCAGTGGAAATGATCTTGCTTATTTTATCCTACCCTGATGTAAAAAAGGATGCCTCTCACACAGGTGTAGCTGGCTTTTTATTCCTAGAATGTCTCTTAAGCAATTTGCTGCAATGATATTTATCCTTCCACACCTGAAAGCCTTTGTATTCTGCGGCCCCTAACATCAGATGGCAGGCACACAATCCTAATTCCGAGAGCTGGAATTCTGGCCTTGCCAATAAGAATTCTCCTACTGAGAAAAAACCCATCATCTTCCACCAAAAGTGAATACTGACACCTGCACAAGAAGCAACTGATGCCTTTCTTGCAAGAGGAGCAGAAAAAAAACAAGAGCTAGAAGGTTTCTTCCCTCCTCTGGAAAATGAATCAGTTGGTTCAGGTACAAGTAGAGTCACAGAAGCGATCTAGGGGAGGGAATATAAAATGACTCAATATTTTGGAGTCTGGGAGGAAGCTGTAAACACCATACTATCAAGATGCTTTCAGAAGTTCTTGCAAAAGGATCAGAATAACTGGGCTCTATAAATGTAAGTCTACAGCTCTGTAGCCACTATCCCTAGATTATCAGGACAGGCAACAAGACCTTGAAAACTATGACCAGCCAAAACAATAAGACTGGCAAAAAGACACAAACACATACATACATATGTGCATACATACATGTGTGTATGTTTGTATGTACATATTTACTCTCACAAATGCACAGAGGTCTGCAAACCAGTTTTCAAACTTTTAAGATTAAAGATACTGTACTCTCAGTTACCTAAGTAAAGAGGAATTTATGCCTTTTCATCTTAAAAAACCTGTAATTACCTCTTTCTAAATATTCTTCAGCTCAGTATCTTCTCCAAGACAAATATGGATAAGCCACAAAGCCAGATTGAAACAGCAATAAAAAGACATACATCAGTCACGCGTTATTTGTGACCACGGAAAACACGAATACCTTTTGTTGTTGTATGGCATGCTTTCCCATATTTCTGGAGGTACGTAATAAGGAGTTCCCACATATGTGCAAGCATATGACACTGGACTATTGAAATGACAAAGAAGAAATATCAGATGAAAATTAATGGTTTAAGTACTCTGTACATTTATCAATGGTAAAATAAAACTTCAGACCACTGAGATCAGCGGAGATATCAACATACTGTGCAAGAAGGCGCGCAGATCCAAAATCTCCCAATTTGACTTTTCCATTTTGAGTGAGGAAAACGTTCTGCATTTCAAGAGCATAGATTAACATACTTAAATGTTCTTCTAGGAAACATTTCTGCAGTTTGTATATACAGAAAACACAGTGACAACCACTTCTGATACTTCATATTTCCTTCTACTTGCCTCTCCTAATACTTCTACCAAAAAAAACCAGTCAAGAACTAGGTTGTGTTTCAAGGGAAATGGAAAGGTTATATGGGGCTAAAGCCCCAGCATCAGTAGCAGGGGAAGAATCAGAGCTTAGAAATGCCTTAATCTCTATGCTGTACTCAAACCACTAAGGTCACACTTTCTTCTGAATTTCTCTTTCTACTAGGAAAGAGTAAGAAACAAAAAATGAGAGGCATGATATTTACAAAGTGCACACTCCATGCACGTTTTAGACTTCTGTTATTGTTTTAAATCACATGCATGTCTGTCACAAGCAATTGGTGCTATCAGGAGTGTAGATATGAAGGGTATAGCTATACTTAAATGATGTTTACGCCCACAATATTATGTCATGCCATACACTCAACAATTTCATTTACTTAATATTCTTAGGCCTAAATGAGAAACAGAGTACGTAGCAGCAACAGGAAATTACGAAAGAGGGAGCTGAACTTTTGCACGCAGAAGAGAGTTTATTAATGGCAACAAAATTTTCTCTGTTCACCTTGGATTTGATATCCCTGTGCAACACACGTTTATCATGAATGTGCTTCACACCCAGGCACATCTGCACAAACCAGTGAAGGATCTGAAAAGCATAACTAAGAGTTATAACTGCTCAATGCTGTATATAATGAATACTTTGCTAACAGATAAACATTAATAAAGAATGTTCAGAATATCTGGCAGTTAAAAGTAACTCCAGCATAATGGCCTTCAGTCAGCGTGAAAGACTGAGTTCTTTAAGATAAAGTAGATTTTAACATGGCAGAAGGGATGTTTACTACCTGTGTCTAAAAAACTTGTAATAGTACGTAACAATAATGAAGCTAGGGAGTCACTACTTAGCACTTCATCTGATGCTCATTTTATAAGCAAGTCAATTACAATGTCATTGTAAATTAGCAAATTAAAAAAACAAAAAACCACACTGAAATAACATATTGTTTCTAAAAGGAAATGTATTCTTTTTAAAAGTATAAAATAAAGTTCTTAGCGATGCTTGGCCAATCTAAATATTAGATTAGGTGAGGATTCTGGTCTTCTTATTTTAACTAAGCTGATGCTACTAACTGCAGCAGGAAGTAGTTTTCAATCACAACAATGTCACTTTGGACCTTCTCCTAAGTAAGTTTATAGCTTCTCCGATAAAAGGAGTTAATGCCTGCTGAATGGTTTAAACATTTAATTGCTGCACAAAATGCAAGCATTTAGTCTCTTGGTTAGTTTCATTTATCTTGCCAGAGTGCTTTATTTACTTTTCATTTGCAGTACCTCTTACTGTGCTTTAAATTCTGGCTGAAGTTTGTGTTAAATTCTTACTTACTTGCATAAATTTATGCACACAAAGCTGACTGCTTTTCACAATACCTGCACAATTCTCAGATACAGACAGCAATTTCATTTTTAATTTCTTTCAGTCCAACTCTCATCTTGTTCTGCTGGAAATTATCAATGAAATAATGCTTCTATTCTAAGTATCTTTGTTTCATTTAAGGTACTTCAAGGTGTTTGTATAGCTATCATTTGTTTTATGTGATGCGGCACGCTTCATTTCACATGAAAAAGGATTCCTAGGTCCTTGGTTCAAAACAATGTCTTTTCTTACCGTATCTTCAGGGAACAAATTTCCTCTTTGGTGTTTAATCTTTTGCATTAGATCTCCATCATCACAATATTCCATCACTATATACAGATGTCCATCAGCTAAATTTTCGGTAACTTAAGAATAATTAGTATTTTCATTAGCAGGGTAAGTATATTATTTTTAATATAAAGCTCTGACTACACGCTATGTATTATATATTACAATAAACATGAATTTGGTTTATAATATGTATTATAAACAACAACAAAAAATAATTTTGATCCCTCAGGAGTATACAACTTGAAACAAATAAAAGTATTTTAAGTTTTCATATTTACCTTCAAATGATTCTTTATAGGCAACGATATTTGGATGTTTCATTTTAGCCAAAAGAACTGCTTCCTTACGAGAGTTCCCTAAATCAGACGAAGACTGAAAATGTAAGTACACTTATTTAAATGTCACACTAACGAATTTTCATATAGAGAGACGACGCACCTTACTTTCCAGAAGGGAAATATTTTTAAGAATTCTTCTTTAGTTATTTTAAGAAGTAATTTAGAAGCTGGAAAACCTCATAATTTTTTAATCTATGCTTTATTACTAGCTGAAGCTTTCTTTGGTATTTTTTGGGTTTTGTGGGTTTTTTTTTAATTTGAGAGGATATTTTCCCACTTCGGTTAATGACTTTTTCTGTTTTAAAAGTGCTGAACTACGTGACAAAGCAGCAGACACTGACTTTGGAACAGCTGACAGCCTACGCTGCATGAGCTCACTATAAAGCCAAGTGCCCAGGTATTAACTAAGCTTCAGCCTCAATAAAGCCATTTTGTGATTTTTTGCTTAGTTAAGTGCAGAGAAAGTAACCCAGATAACTGATTAACAGCAATAATATGAGGCTAATTTCCTCACTAGGTGTTGCAGATGAAAACTGTGTTCTAAAGAAATCAGGAATCCAGACAAGGGCATCAGGGAAACAGGGGTTTCATTCTAAGTGTATTCCTATATGCTACACTTCCCCAAATGTAACCACACACTTTCTGAAACAGACCAGATTTTGCTACTTATTATCAACAACCTCCACTCAGACGTAGTTATATACCAGCCACGCCATGGAACTGTCTAATAGACAAAACTCTCAGCAAAAGTGTTCACATTTCAAAAGTCTATCCAGAATTATGATTTTTTAAAATGTTTTTTAAGTGGCGGGGGAGGTGATGTACGTGCCGTACTTACCATGGGAAGTCTTATTTCCTTCATTGCATACTTCTGCTCACTGATTCTATGATGAACCAGGAGAGCTCTGCCAAAGGATCCCTCTCCTAGTACTTTCAACACTTTGTATTCTTCCATTCTTTTTAAGCGTAGGTCCAACACTTCTATTCAAACACTCTCACAGGACGATCTTCTAAACTTTGTCATGACGTTGATTCATTTTTTGAAAATTGTTGTTAATATAATCTGCATGAGAAAAAAAACCCCGCAAAATAACAAGAACGGGTGATAAATGTGGGTACTTACTGTTCAGCATTACCATAAATAAAATTCCAACCACTGTTACCGTGATTTTACTGAAAATGAGGCCTTCAGAAAGTTCAACTAGAAGTATCATACAGTGTATCTCTGCATTTTTTAACTTTGAATGCTAAAGCTCTTTGAAAATGTAAATTACAGACCTACAACTTAGCATCTTCTTTTTGTTACCTGCATTTCTGCAGTTGGTTTCATAACGCTAAACAAAACTCACGGGCACAATAATATAAACAGTAAGCTTCAAGCTTCCAGTGACAATTTTCACCTAAACCAGCATTAGCAGGATCAAACTGAAAAAAGTTACCAGTGTTCATGCAGAAAGACCTCAACAACTGGCAGATACTGAACAGAATATCTCACTTGGAAGGGACCTACAATGATCATTGAGTCCAACAGCCTGACCACTTCAGGGCTGACCAAAAGTTAAAGCATGGTATTAAGGGCATTGACCAAACGCCTCCTAAATGCTGACAGGCTTGGGGCATCGACCACCTCTCTAGGAAGCCTGTTCCAGTGTTTGACCGCCCTCTCAGTAAAGAAAAGCTTCCTAATGCCCAGTGTAAACCTCCCCTGATGCAGCTTTGAACCATTCCCACGCACCCTATCAGTGTATTTATAGACTGTATGCTTTCTTCAAACTGGTGGTACTCTTAAGTTGGTTATCCACAATTCAAACATCGCTTTACGCATACATCTGCGTGTACACGGTGTTCTAATGAGTTGGTTTTAGATGGCATCTCAGGGCTTAATTGTTTCTGAAAGGCTAAAATGCCGATTTACTCAGAGGCTGAAAAATAAACACGCTGATTAATTTACTTGAGAACTCTGAAGGTCCCTAAGTGATGACTAAGAATGGTGTTTTTCAGGGGAACGGGAACACTCCGTGTGTGCTTCACGTTAATAGCAGTTACATCTGGTAGCTGCGGCTCCCTTACCCTGAGGAAGGGAA